ACAATTTAAAATAACAACATATAAAATAATTGTTTGATGTACCTCTGCGAGTGACAAATATTTTGTTTTTGGAGCAACAAAACCTAAAATATTTGACGGAATTTTCTGTTTGTAGCTTTACAATAACGATATGTCACTAACAATTAATCTACTATTTACAATTCCCACCAAATAGTTTGAGCTTACAATAGATTTGTCTTCATGTAAAATTCGTCTTAAATCAGATAAACATAAGAAGATAAATCGCTAAAACTAAAAGTAGTACTCTAAAATTGTCGAAAAGTTATAATGCACATCCTACAATCGAAATTGTTAATCATATTAGAGATTCTCCTACAAGTTGCAATAAAAGAACTGTCGGTGTTTCACTGAGAAACAATACACGAGCGCCAGGTGCGTATAAAGCCACCATGCCTGCCAGGTATGCAAGGATCATGGCGACAGCTAGCAGAGAATTGCTTTCTTTGTCTCCAAAAGGTTCCCGTAACTACAATGGACATAGGCTAAGATCCGAGATAAGCTTTAACTAACAGGTCGCGCCACCTTGCGACCATCAGATGGCTTAATACATATGAGAGCACACAAATAGTTATTTTATTTTGCTTATCTTAATATTTATTGCAAAACAACAATAAACTTGTTTCTTCCTTTGTATTTATTAATAACCAGTTTCCACCGTCCTGCAAAATCCAACTATAACTTATAAGCTTTAGTGACACTAATCACTACTAATACAATTAGTTTACTTTTGTGTATTCAGTAAGTATAATGCACTATATTATATGATAAATTATTATTCATACCTATAAGGCTATATTAACGTTATGAATAGTTGAAAAACATAGATATACAGAGAAACAGTCTTACAAAAAAAAGTTCAATTTGTGTGATTTAACGGAAACGACAAAAAAAAAAAAAGATACAGGAATGACGTGATTTGATAAAGTTCACAATAAATCCACGCACAACTAATTTCATAAGTTGGCGAATCCATTACAGTATGTCTCAATCATAATTTTTGTTCTATTACCCATATCAATTATTAGTATTACGCAAATCTTGTCTTAGCTTAACTACAGAATATACAAGTGATGTGTAGTAATCTTCATAAGTAGTTACCTATCGTACGTACGCATTTTTCATGAATTAATCCTATATCATAAAATTTAAATCTAACGCCTAAGCTTACTCGTTAGATTACCACGGATACGTCTTTTCGAAGATGATGTAATGCAGACCGATTACTATTATCTATTTTCCAAGTTAACGTCCAGCAGAATTAATTATTCTGGATAACTCATTTGTGCGCTTCTCCACTATTTAGTTCTCAAGGCACTCAAAGTACAACTTTAAAAATATCAGTTACTATAACCCTACTAGTACTATCGATGTCGAAGTACTACCCAGGGCAATGAGTAATACTAATGAAATACAGAATTTGGTTAAACATTTTAAAAATAAATCTACTGATGAGAACGTTATGATTTTTTTTTTAAACTACTAACTGTTTCAAGTCTTGTAACGGCCTGGCTTAAGTATTAATACATTTCTTACTGACGTCCCGACGTGTAATGACGGTTATAGTTATTTTACTGTTAATGTTATTTTTAATGATACTGATAATCTAAGTTACGAATTAAATTAATCGCTAGCCCCATGTCAAATAAACTAAACTGGTTTAATAAGTAACATTAAGTCAAGGCTAAAAATAAGTATATTAAACAAACATAAATGTTGTCATAATAATTATCAAACGTCTTGAACTTAATGTATAGCTTTGAAATTTTATGCTATTTCAGTTAGCCATAAAATAAGCTTATATGTTAAAATATAAAACAAATACGTCAGTGAACTTCGACAGATGCCGTTAGACCATTCCAAATCTAAATAATTTAATAAATGCGCTAGTTTTGTAAATATGTTATTATTATGATTGATAGCACATAAATAAGTAATTTCTATATATACAAATTAAGTGTAAAATGACCTCAGTCCCTTGTTAACTTTTTAACTCTTCCAAAATGTTTCTACCATTGTCAAGTCATTAAGTATAAACTTAGTTTTGTTGAGGTGGAACACTGTTGAACAGTATTAATGCGTAACTTCATATGGGCTAACCAGAACCAGCTAACCTTAACACAAATAAGGCTTAACATGTTTAGCAGGACTCAGGATGCTTTGACAATGACAGTGCGGCTCGGCGAAACGAAGCCAGTACCACAGGTTTAGTAATACCGAACTGTACGTCTTACTAATAATATGAGTACAAAAAAAAAGTTAGACATAATACTGTGAAAATAAGTTAGTAATGTATCATTCTCACCTAGTAATACTGTTGATACTAACACACTAATCCACCTCCAGTTCCACATGCTGAGGTATTCTGTTACTAAAAGCAAAACTGCAGTTTGAACGACACTCTCCTCTTTCAATTGTCAGGATACAGGTTTATTACTTCCCACTTCTGTAGTAGCTGTAGCAGTGTCGTTCGTAGTATAACGTTGTGCTTGAACTATGTTGGCGAATATCGCTTTCAACATGCGAGCAAAGAAAGAGTCTACAGATTTGGTAATAAGAATAGCATTCTTGTAAACAATTTTAACACAATGGTTATTTAGTAACAAAATACACATTTCGTTTACAAATTTTCCAAAATATTATTGACATAAAACTATTTAATAATGCCTTAGCGGCAGAATACATCGTATATTTATTTAAACGAAACGGAGAGTGTACCTCCGACATTGTGAGGAAGCTAGCAAACGATATATTTGTGGTGTATCTCTTCACTGATTTGTCTTCACAATTTTTCTTGATTACAAGATAGAGAACAAGATGGATTACTCATAAAGAAAATAGTTCAGTCACTTGGTTGTAAAAATTTATTTCTAAAGTCTCACTGACGATTGCTAATTTACGTTAATTGATTTCAGCTTTTAATACTTTTTTATTTACGGATAAACAAATAACTATGTTTAAAAACCTCATTTTTGAAAAATATGTTTAACTAACATCAGCGGGTAGCTAGTTTTGAATAGAATAGTACAACAGTTCAAACTGTTACATATTACAATATTAAACTAATGATATTACGTCATTAAACAATAGTGTCATAGAAATTAACAGTATCTAAGAACGGAAAATATATCTGTACATCTTTATATCTATTGATGCTACGTTTTTGTTTTTTGGTAAAGAGAGCTTCTTTAATTTTTCTACGATTTATATTATTTTCTATGTCAATTATTTCAACTTATGATAACGAAAAGAGTTATGTTTAGCCTTGTGTTCTAATACATGAGAAGGGGCGTTCAAATATATTTTTTCAATATTGTTGAAAGTTGTTGGTTAGCTTTTCCAATGCAAGATTTATCACACTCTTTACATTTAATTTGATACTCTGATCATGATGTAACATTGTAAACAAAATTTTCTGACGGAAGGTAGCATAAGTTTTTTTCATTGGTAGGAAAAAAAAACTCCATTGAGATACATATCACACTATTTACACTCTTTAACAGTTTTTTACCACATTATCTGAATAGTAATGAAAAGTTGGGGATATACTGCAACGAACAATAAAGGGGCGTGTTTTCTAAATTTCTGTTGTTTGTTCCTTCGACCTGTAATTACATATTTATCTGTAAATACACATATATATATATTACTTAATTTGGCAAGTTCTTCTTTTAGTTTTTTTCATGAATTTAGTTTAATTCATTACTGGCATTACTTTTGAAATGGAGTCGCGTATGATGATCTATCACAGTTCGACTAGGCATAAGTTGATACGTAGTAGTTATATTTGAATTTTGTCATAAAAATTAAGTTAACTGCAGATGTTTTTCGTTGTTGTTGTTCTTTTCCGGTTACTGTCACACACGTGTATATAGTTATTTGTATCTCTTTCATGTTGAAAAGTTTATTTTCTCAAATGGTTCTCATAGAATTACTTTCGATCACTTTTCAGATTTTTTAACTGGTTCATGAAAACTCTATTTGTATTTAAACACATGAATTGAATGTTTTAATGTCAAAATTTCCATTTTCTGAAAATAGAAAAATAATTAGGAAATGAAGCATTGTATACAATAAAAATCACAAGGTGATTCTATCCGGGTTTTCAAGACAGTAAGTTGTATCATGTTTATCTAATGAAGAGTAATTATTTAGACTCAAAAATAAACTATAGTTGAGTTAATTACTTGAAAACAAAGTTGTTCAAATTACATAGAGCATAAAATAGGTATATCCAATTTAATCACCGTATAAGTTAAACAATGGGCAAATTTACAGAGTTCAAATTTCGAACCGGCTTTGAATAAATTGAATCGTTAAAATCAAAGATGTTTTGTGATCTTTAGTAAGAAAAAAGAACCTACAGAAAGTTCTTAAAACAGGTAACACAATTTATTAAGTTAGAAGCGTATAGTGGACACCAAAAGAAGTTTTCGTGTTCATAATTTAAACCTATATATTTCACTTTATTCTATATTTTTAATATTTAAATTTATATATTTATGTCATTCGCTAGAAAGTTTTGATGTGATATGACGAGCATGACGTTTGGAACTTTCTTGAGAGTTTGAAAAAAGATGTGAGAAATATAAAAACGCAAGTTAGACTACGCTAAAATTAATTGTTAGATTGATTATTGATTTAACAATTGAGTTTGTTAATTTGTCTGTTACTTTGTCAATTCATCGAGTTTAGTAAATTTTGAGTCTATGTCTTAACAAAATATTAAAGATAAAGAATAAGTAAGTGACTAATATTGTTTCTGAAATTAGGCCTATCGCTCGGTGCACTTGTAGAGCTTCATTATTTAATTTCTGTAGTGCATATTAATTTATAGAAGACATGTTAATACTAGAAATAATCGACTTTAAAACACCAAATTGTTGTTTTTCAATAATTGGACACTCAACGTTTTGTTTTACAGCTTCTTCAGGAGCGTTCCACTAAAACACAAACCATAACTGACAGTACAAAGCTTCAAATGGTTTAGAAAAATAACAATTTGGTGTTATAAGGTCGCTTATTTCTAGTACTAACATTTGTAAAGCTTGTTGGAGAAAAAAATAAAACATTAAACATAAAACAGTATATTTATTTAGCTATACTCATTATCGGTTGATTTTAGTCTATGTAGGTAGCTTGCTTTGATCAGGAGTTGATATTAATGATTATATTTAAATAATATTAATAATTGACAAATATATAATAATAATAACTTTATTTAAGACAATTTAGACCACTGCCCCATTATACCAGAATAGTTTAACTTGAAACCAACATTTCTTTAATATTTATTTGAAGAGCTTTTGTAGTCATACTATGGTATATTTTTGTTTCATTCTCAATATTTTAGCAGTAAATATATTTGAATTATTCAATATTTTTACATTTTGAGTTTTTAATAATGAATTAGACTTATAATGACTAGGTTTAATATAATAATATAGATGTTTATATTCTTTAATTCATTAAAGTATGTGTGTGTTTTATACCAAACTAAAACAGTCTTTCTACTGTATCCACTGAGGGGAATCGAACCCCTTGATATTAGGGTTGTAAATCCGAAGACTTATCGCTTACAAGGATAACATGATACTCATCTCCTCTTTTACTTCATTTATCAAATAATTACACCATCTTATGATGCATCCATATTTTCATAGTGGCCCATTTCTGATTCAAAATTAGCATTTGAGATACGTAATTTTGCCAAAGCTGACCTTTAAAACTTTCTAAATTGCATGAACAATTGTCTTATTATTAACAAAGATTCCATAATCATGTTCTTTCATTTGTGTTGTAAGGTCATTCATAAAGATAATAAATAGGAAAGGGCTTATCATATAATCTTGCCTTGTTCCTACTTCACGTATAAAAAAATGCATTTTTTATACATACTCACAATCACTTAAATTTTTTCCTTTTATGCCATTTTCAATAACTTTATTCCGCATTATTTCATGAGAAACAGTATCAAATACTTTACTAAAATCAATAAAAGCACAGTGGAATCTTTCTTTATTCTTAGATAGATATTTTTCAGTGAGACAACATAGAATAAATATAGGACCAATTGTTGAATTCTTCTTTCTGTATTATGGCTGTTCTTCATATATTTTCTCATTTATATCTGCCAAATTGTTTAATCTAAAATTTATAATGTTTGTGAATATTTTCTCCATCACGTTTAAAAGTGGTATTCCTCCATAATTCTACGGATTATTTACATAACCTCTTTTAAATAATGGACATATTATTGCTTCACGTCATTGTTCAGGAAACTTTCTACTATTCAGAATAAGTTCAAAAATTTTCCACAACTCTGGACTTGCATTCTAAGTGGTTGTCAGTTTGACTGTAAAGGGCGATTTCTAAAGTGAAAGTTTTACGGTTTGTATTGTAACAACAGAGATAGAAAAGAATATTTCGACTTGTCAAGTGGGTTTTAAAGTAATTGAACCAGCCTGTGTGGACTTTTGACATAAAATAGAATAACTTAAAGCTCTGGATACGACTGTGGTAACTGTTTCTACAGTGATAAAAGAGTAGCGAAGAAATAATTCGTCTCGTCAGTTGGGTTCTAAAGTAACTGAACCAGCCTGTGTGGACTTTTGACGAAAAAGAGAATTATTTACAGCTCTAGATTCAACTGTGGTAACCAATACTGGCAACAGGGTAACAAATTTTGTTTGTACATATGCTTGACTTGTTTGAATGTATTATTTTAAAATGAGTGGATTGTGTGCTATCCATTTATTGTTGAAATTTATTGCCAACAAGTCACAGACACCTACTGTAAAGAATCCGGCCCCTATATACAAAAACCTGGCACTTGTCGAGCCAGCCAGGATTATACAGTGGTAGAAGAAGACGTGAGCAACAGTGAAAGTAGGCCTATACACACACAACTGTAGTGGTGGCGAAAATAGTGTAGAGATTACAATTATGCTATATAATCATGTCAATAAATTTTTATAAGTGGATAAGTGAGCATCTTGGGTTAAAATATAGTGATCTACGAGAGTTTGTTAAAAACAAACAAACAATAAGACCGAGAGTGAGAAGAGTGTAGGCAGAGAAGAGATGAAGAAATACTAAAAGAGTAAAAGGAAAAAGAAAGACTAAAAAAAAGGAAGAAAAAGACGGAAAAAAAGAAAGAAAAGAGAGACTGGAAATAGAGAGAGAGAGAATAAGAGCACGGTTGAGAAAGAAGAAAATGAGAGAGGGGAGAGACTGGACATAGAGAGAATAAGAGCACAAATAAGATCATAAAGCTCACTCAACAAAAAGATGAAGGATCCAAGAATTACAATGGAGTCAGGGCCAGCAGACCCAAGTTGCCCAAATTTGATTAACAGAAAGATGGAATGGATGTTTGCCTGGAGAGATAAGAAAGATTTGCCCAATATCGGAACTGGGATAAAGATGACTAGACAGTCTGTCTCAGCACAGTTTTCACAGGAAAAGGCCTACAA